GCTCAACACTTTTCATATTCATTTAAGAACACATTTAGTCTGTTAGTCTGATGATGTTTACTACATTTTTCCGCGTCAAACCTGTCGTCCTTATCTCTCCTCCTTTTTATTGTATATTACCCTCTATGAACACCTCGGGTCTTCACCACTTTTATTACCTACTTGTGTTACAAGTGCCGTAAAACTCTTACTTAAACTACAACCATCGGTTCCTCACAGGCCTCGTGTGTTCAGAGAGCCAATCATCTTCCTTGGTGCTGACGTGACCCACCCCCCCGCTGGCGACACCCTCAAGCCTTCAATTGCTGCCGTGAGTACACAAGAGGCTAGACGCGATTCACTATCGGAAAGACTGGATGTGACTATAAGAATAAGAATATTTGCATTTACAATGTATGTATATATATAGCTCATATCCTTGCTGTGAAGCGTGGGTGGTTGGCGGGTGCTCTGGTGTGGTTTGCTTCTTTTTTCCTGTCAAACGTCTATTGTCTTCGTCTCCCCTCCTCCTTTTTTGTGTTTGTTACTCTCTTGTAACACCTCTAATCTTCGGCACTTCTATGACCTTATTGTGTTGCAAGTGCCGTAAAACTCTTACCAGAACTAAAAACTTACTCTGAAGCAGGCGTGGCCAAACTACAGCTCGCAAATAGTTTCAGTCTGGCCAGCAAATCAGCCGTGTAATGAATGTGGCCCTCTCTGTGAGTTTATAATTAATGAAAAACATACAACTGTCCATCTTGAAAATTAAAATCGATGGTTTCCAGCCCAGCTGGGAAAAATAGGTGTAACATTTTATCTCATGAAATTCCCTTGAATGACATGCTGTTGTGTCCGTTTCAGTCTTTTTTTTTTTTAAGAGCTTTGCTTGGTATTTCAACCAATTTCACGCAATTTTTTCCTGCTTTGGCCTGCGATATATTCAGAATCACTTCATCCAGCCTGCGACATGGATACACATCTCCATGCCCGCTCTACAGCATTCACTCTACACTTTACAACTAGTATATTGGTGATTTGCTTCTTCATTCCTATCAAACGTCTGGCGTCATTATCTCTCTTCCTTCTTTTTTATGTTTGTTACTCTCTTGTAATTGTAACACTTCTAGTCTTCGGCACTTATATGACGTAATTGTGTTGCAAGTGCCGAAAAATGCTTACTAAAACATAAAACATCCTCTCTGTTTTTCTCTCTCCACTTTCTCTGTAACACGTGTAAGTGAAATAATCAACCTCGAATCAATCTCATCATCCCTAGCATTTTGATCCCTTTTAGTCAAGACTTTGCCTCCATTCTTCTCTGCGGGTGATAATAACGATTATGCTACTGGCGTGTTTACAACCTGTAGGTTGTCGGCAGCATGGACGCTCACCCCAGTCGCTACTCGGCCACAGTTCGAATCCAGGAGCACCGGCAGGAGATCATCCGCGACCTGGCCACGATGGTGAAAGACCTGCTTATCCAGTTCTACCGCTCCACCAGCTTCAAGCCCACCCGGATCATCCTCTACCGCGACGGCGTCAGTGAGGGACAGTTCCAATCCGTAAGGGAAAATGTGCGGCTGGCATTTGTTTGTTATTTTATTTTTGAGTTTAGCCCTTTCAGTTCAGAAGCATTTCCATTTACATTAGTACAGACAAGGCAGGTGGTTGGCAGGTGCTGCTGGTAGGTCCTACTTCTTTACTTTCCCTCAGTTGTTTCTGTCTGTCTGTCTTACTTTTTCCAAATACAAAATGATGATTATTGCGTCGATGTGCTTCTTTTTACTCAAGCTCAAAGCAAGCACAGATGAGCAAAATATTCCTTCAAGAGAGATTTTAACAATGGCACAAGATATTTCCCATTATTAATTAAGGATAAGATACTGCATAAGTTGCAAACACGTCTTCCATCTTCTGTAAACCAGTGGTGAGATCGTCTTCATCTCCCCTATTTCTTTTTTGTTTTTGTGTTTGTTTCTCTCTTGTAACTCCTTTAACTCACTTCAGACGGGTCACACAACAGTTGCGTGACCCCCGCCGCGACGGGTCTCACAAGCCCTGCGTGACCAACTTTGGAATTTTTTTTTCGCTCTACAAATCACGCATGGATCGCGAGACCCGCCTCGTACGCTTGTTTGGCCAAGCCTGAGCTACTTAGACTTCGTTTCGTATCTCTGGGGCCGGTAGTTTTTAAG